CAGACGTGTGCTCTTCCGATCTCCCCAAAACCCCAAAACCCCAAAACCCCGAGCGATTGAAATATCATATTCTTACAAAAATCTAGAAATACAAAAATAAGATTTATATTAATAGTGAAAGTTAAACTTAAAGAGATAATTTATAAAGTAATTTAATTAATCATACTTAATAAGACAACGGAAGATGGCTGTGTTAATTTAGATAACAAATACGGGCACATGTAGGTGTTTATCTACGAAATCATTGGCACTGCTTTTCTTTTCATTGGAATTAATTTTGGAAGAGGAAACCCAGCAGTGTCATTAGGGGCAATCTACATGGCGCTGATGGTGACTGCGAATGCGACTGGCGGCAACTTCAACCTGGGACTGACATCCGCCGTTTTCTTGGTGGAAGGCAAATATCGATATTAATGGAAAGCTCTCATTCTCTACACTGTCGCAGAGATGATTGGAGGATATTTAGGAATGTCAGTTTCATATTTAATTTTGGGAACCGATATTGCTGTGATAAAACCAAGCGATATGAGTATCTCAATAACTTCAGTTTTTTTCTTAGAAGTATTTTTCTCCATGACTATGATGCTAACAATTCTTCATTGCAAGAACTCAAAATTAAGTCTCTTCAAAGACAATGTACCTGGCTTTCTTGCAGGCTAAATTGGAATATACTTCGGAGTCTCTTGCATAGGCAAGAGAACTGGAGCAGTCATGAGTCCAAACATAGGCTTTTGTAATGTGACATTTGTTGCTATGGTTTAGCATAGATCAGATGTTTTGCCTTATTTATGTGCATACTTCTTCGGGCCTTATTGTGGTTCTTTAATCGCTGGAATATTTGTCAAATATGTAGCAGTTCCAACAATCAAGATGATTGAAGCAGATAAAGAAAAGAGAAACTACTAATAGATAAATAAGACAGTTGATTCATCTTTTGAAAACCAAATTAGTAGAATTCATCCAATGAATAATGACAAAATAAAGTAATGAAACTTACAATCAAATTACTGGGAAAAGTAAAATACCCTCAGTTTTATTCTTTTAGTATCAAACTTTAATAAATTTGAAAAAAATAATTCCTTACACTTAATAAAATTAATTTCATTAAATTTGCAGATTTATTCATTTAGGGGTTTTGGGGTTTTGGGGTTT